TATTATAATAATTAATTAATATTAATGGCTATAGACTTTGATAATTCAATGGCACTATGGCAGCGGAAACTATATGACACCGACCCCATAAATAGATAAGACTAAAAAATGTAAAATATACTAATAATATGTGCATAAATAATTAATGATATACATAATATTTTATACAGTCAACTTTCACCTTCTTAGGTACCTATATATAGGCATATAGCTACAAAAACATACTCACCTGTCACCTACACGCCTACAAATCTTGAATCCCAAACCTAGRACATGAACCTTCACACCGCCAAAGTATAAATTGATAATTTAGATATGAAATATGATTTCGTTCAAAAACTGTTTAAAACGCAATAAATAAGATCATATATATATATTCATCCCGCATTCGTGAATAACACGACTTCAATTAGAAAAAGTTACTTTACTTGTACACCAAAATCTCTAATAATATACGGTTAGCATCCATAGATATTATAGATACTATTTATAAGATGCACTGGCGTAATTCCATTAAATTTCAGCTGGTGCAAAACTTTTATCGGTCCAAAAATTGTAGTGACAATTTATTTAAGTTATATTTCAAGCTAATCGCTTTGCTCGAGCGTGTTCTATAGTCATCTTTTTATATTTTATAATAATATAACATAGGTAAACATATATCATAATCTGTGCCTATATTTTAAACATTGTATGTGGAGTAGTATCTGTAATAACACATTATAAATATAAAAATATAATATTTATATGAAATAAATTGTAGTGATAACAAAATGTTTAAATAAGTTTATAAAAACTTCGAAAAATCAATGAAATATAGTACCTAGGTATTGTATTTTAATAGGTATAAAGTTCGGCGTCTGCAAGTGCAAAAGTATATAATATCTTTGCACCTGCTATATAATACTAAGAGGTGCAAGTGCACCGTCGTGCACTCCCGTAATTACGCCACTGATAAGATGTATGGACATCAGGTATTTTCAATAGGTATGTGCTGGAAATTTATTTACATCAAATAACGGGATTCAATTTTCATCAATTCTTATTGCACATTTTAATATTAATTATTTACAAAAATTGAATTTTCATAATATATTTTTAACAACTTTTAGTTGCATAATATTTGKATTGAAATTATTATGCTTCAGTCTAGTATAAATTTCCCATTCTTAGATACTCAAATTATGAATATAATTTAGAATAAGGAAATATTCATAATAGATTTTCATGTGTGATGTATCGCGACTTGCAATAATAAAATTGAAGCATTTGAAATCAATATAATTTATAATTTATTTATTTAGGTATATTCCTTAAAACTAATATTATAAAAATTATATTTAGGTAATCCATATGACAATTTTCATTAATCATTCACTGTTTGTAAAATAAAATACAATTAACTCGTACTAATAATAAAAAATAATACATTTCATGATTATTTATACATAATTTAGGTGGTTTTTTTGTGTGTTTTTTWATGAAATTAGTTTTTCTTAGTCCAACTGGATTGAGTTACTGAAACATTTTCAGATTCCTTTCCAACCCAGTATTCTCCACCGTTCTTGGCGACTGTGTATCTAGAAAAAGAATATTAATTATAAATTATCAAATAATACTTGTAACTGTATACAATAAGTATTGGCATAATATGTTCTATATATTACAGTTAATTGTTTAATATTTTATTCTTATGGCCCTTTAAATATTATATCAATAAAAAAAAATATTTATAGGTACAACTGATAAAACATATAAGTTTGATTTATTGATTTAAAAATATTTACTCAAAAAATAATTGGTATTGTTCTAACTTATAGTTGTAACTAATAATATGCACTCCCCCCCCTTTAGAACTTTAAATTTGTTTTYTAAATCATTATACGCCAATTTGGTGAACATCGATTATTCTTTAAATGTAAGCATAAAATGTATAATTTTATAATTCATTTATTTTTTAAATTAATTTCACCCCTTTCTAGAAAAATGACTGAGAACGTTCACGAGAGCTATCCAGGATACAGCTGTTATAACTTATAAGTCATAAGTCTTAAACTAGTTTAACTCTTAACATTCGTAACTTATAGATCTAAAAGACAAAATTTATACATGAGGCAAAATACAATGTATTATTATGTGCATTAAAGTTTTTAGTTTTTATTCTTATGATATAAAATGTACAAAAAGTTATTTAAGTTTGAAAATTACAAAAAAAAACCTATTTTAAAATAGTAGGTAATAACTTTTTTTTATTGATGATATTAGAAAAATTTAAAGYCATTGCGATTTACGATACCTACAGCAAATATTGATTTATAGCGTATATAAATTTGTTTTATTTATACAAGTGTTTATAAGTTYGGTAAATTATTAAAATTTCAATCAGTACTATATAATTTTCCTTTCAATTAAAAATTAAAACTTTTAAAGATTAGACAATAATTGCATCAGTTTATATTGTGCCAACACAACGCTATTGGTCGTAACAATCAAAAGTATAGAGGTACCTGACCTGTCTGCTACTTAAATAGAAAAAAAATAAACTAAATAATAACCTTGAAGAACGAGTTGAGACAGAATTCAATATCATATTATATTAATAAAAAATAAAATTATATAAATATATAGGTACTCAAACTAAGTATAAATTGTATATTATACATGTAATATAGATACMTACCAAACGATAAATTATTTTAATAATCTGTAATTTATTTTGTCTGTAACATATAATTGTTGATTGTTGTGAAGTACTAAGTGTCTAAGTAGCCAAGTACGAGAGTATACACCAAGTARATAGGTACCCGCTTATATGTTATTTTTAACTTCCATTACATTCACTTCTAAATCGTCTTTTAAATAATTGTATACTCTAGAGTCTAGGTTTATTAGTAGCCTTGAAATGTTGTTGTATGCAAAAAATTAGCATATCATTTAGACTGTGTAATAGTTACATGCATTTAAATCGAATCGGAAAATCTCGTACATCTAACTTCACGTTTTAAATACGTTTTCAGTTTTTCACCTTTAAGGTACTTATACCTATATAATATTCATTTAATTATTTTGAACGTTTAATTATATTAGGTAGTTAATAACATCTACATTAATATATCTGTACCTATGATAATAATAACTCTAAAAATCACTAAACCAGTCAAGTCAGCTACGTATGTTTAAATCAAGTTGAGAAATAAACCGGTCTTAACCTTCCGCACATTATGAGGACTAAGTTTAAAATTTTGTTTCTAATTATTTCTWGAATTATTACTTATTTAAATTACATTTGACACTTAATTACGTATATTATGCGAATAATTGTAACTAGTAAAAAAAATAACTACCAATATGTCTAAATGTTTGTTCAAACGAGTAAGAATAGTCTAGACTCTAGAGTAGGTACTATATAATACTCTACACCGACTTACTTATAATATAGCATGGTCAAGTATATATATGTCTACGCTTTAAAACAAAGACGACTACAGGAGGGGTCGGATGGGGCCCACAAATAGTTACTTTCAATGGTTGTTAAGTGCATATTTTTTTTCCAATTAGAAGATCATTGTTTATTAAATAGTTTAATGTTGAAAAGTAAGCACTTTCAAAAAAAAAAAAAAAAAACATCAGTGCTCTTGATGTCCCATAAACAACATAATAATATATAGGTATTATATGATTTACGATGAAGATAYAATAAATATAGTATCAACGATTTGCTATTTTAATTTTTTTTTTTAATTTAAAATAAATAATACGCACAAACATGCAATACAGAAAAATAAGACAGTTTAATGATATATATTATACTTATGATATTATCTTATTGCTTATTTTATTACATATCTATGTTCAAAACACGCTGTTCTCCTAACCAGCCTCCCTCCTCAAACCCTATGAAATTTTTTGGTGGAACTCTTAACTTACRGCATTATAATGTTACCTAACTAAGCTAATACTATACATTACGCGTTCATTCTAAATGGAAATATAGTTGTAGGTACTTAAGCTTTTTTGGGTTTTCCCTGGACACTGGTCAGTGGTAGTTTCTTATAACAAACAGTTTTATATCCATGCATTCCTTATATTTATTTTAACAATACAATTAGTCCATTATTTCTTAAAAGATTCTTMATCATAGATAAATTTAAATTGGATCATAAACTTTATAAACTGATCTATATTTCTAAAAATATTTTTTGTATATATATTATTATATTATATACATAAATACACTGTGTATTATACACACTTTTTTTAAATGCAATCGATTTATTTACGTACATATATGTAATGTATTTGTATTATAACCATTTGTTCTCAATACAAATRAATACAATTGTTTATTATTAAATTTCAAACCTGAGCTGCTTTTAGTAAGCTAAAATCTAAAGCAAATTGAACTTAAACTGATGTAGGTACTTTCTAAAAATATGAMAAATTAAAAAAAYTATAAACTAACTATATACAGCCTTGAAGATTGTAATACGACACTTATAAATGATACAAATCGTTAACAATTGTTTTCATTCATTAAGTTCAATGAATAAACATTTGTTTCGTTTCCTTATTGCGGGTGTTTATAAATAATTATTATCGTATTCATTAGTTATTATTTTTGTCATGTTTCATCTGAGTGACTTTTTTACATTTCCTACGATTTTTAAAAGAATAGTCAATTTAATTCACAGGTGAAACTACGGCCGGTCAGGCCACTAAGGCCATGGCTTGACCTAATACTAACTGGATATACTGGCATCATAGGCGTGTTTAGACCTTTGACGCAGAGGGTGCAACCTTGTGCGTACCCAAGGAGCTAATGGGCCCTAGCCTCCTTTTTTGAATAATTTTTCTTAATAATTCATTGTGCCTCTTGAAATTGCAGAGGGTGCAGGCGCATACCCTGCACTCCCCGTAGACACGCCTATGACTGACATAATACAATTTAAAATTTAAATAAAATAACTCATTTTATAATTATAATTTTTTTTCATATTTTTCATTTGGCCTGTCCTAATACAATTTTCTAGTTTCACCTATAATTATTAATATCAATTATGCCAACTCTTAATAGACATTGAAATAATGTTACTGATAATATGTTACACTATTTTGTTAATGAGCTACAAATAATAGTTCTACGAACACAATTCACTTTCATAATTTATTTTATTCGATTAGCTGTTTGTGATCACTTTGATGCCAATCGATAATTATACGTTTAATAAATAAAAGCGTCTTTAATCGAGAAGCGATTACGATGAGGGACACACATTATTACATAACATTTGTATGCAAATGATTATTGAAATGTATGTCAACGAATAACTATACTTTTTGAAGAAATATTTCATATACCGGCATTAGTAAGTATGTTTCACATTTGTCACATAATATTGTATATTGTATCCATAATATGGCTACTAAGAAAAACCGGTTTACTCCTATAATATACCTACACTATATATATGTTTCTTTTCCAAAACCCGTTAAGCTACAACTACTTTTAACAAATATATGTCATTATTRCTTCCAAAAAACATTGCCCATCTGTTATTTTGTAATAGTTTAACATAAGTTATTGTAATGCCCTCTAATGTAATACTTACTTAAATTTGAAACTTTGCAAGTCAAGAGTTTTCGGTGCGGTCCATGTGAGCACTACTCTTGATTTTTCGACTGCGTTTGCATGAGTTGCGGTATTCTGTAAACAATTTATAAACATAATATGTTATAAACGTTTCATCGAATGAGTTATGACCGCATTGGTTATATAACAACGTCACACCGTGTCCTTATAATAGTTTTATCGGCCAACTGGTTTATTATCGTAAATATTATTGTMATACAGATACAGATTATAATTACAATTTTAATTTAGGTATTGTCTGTTAAAACATAATCTGGTAATGTTTTAATTATCCATCAACAAACATTTTGATCCAGATCATGAAATCGATGAAATAAATTAAAATGAATGTATCAATTATAAATATAAGGTATAATATATTAATAATTTCAAAATTTCAAAATTTCTTAGAAAACCGTATTTTTTTGTTAACTTAATAATATATTACTATGGCTAATTGCTTAGGTATTTCAAACTGATTGATTCGTATCGAGTTTTGTACAGTTGTATGGCTAAATCAGTTAAGACTAGGTTAAGACTTAATTAAGATTAGGTACTATAGTTGTTTTATTTAAACCTATACAACATATGCTATTTTAATGTAATTTTCTAATCTATTATAATTTATAATAAAATAATAATATGTTGTGCACTTACGTTGGACGGACCATCTGGGCAACTAATGAGCTTCCATTTGCCCTTGAACTCTGGGTTGTTCTTGGACGCGGGCAGGGGCGAGAACGAACCGATGGGCTTCTCGTTACTGTCTCTAGCCTGGATTATGAAGCCTTTGAATTTGGAAAAGTCTTTGGAGGCGAGAGTCAGCGTTATAGATTCACCGCCTTTCAAGGACTTGCGGTTAAGCGTTAACGTATAGGGAGAATCTATGGTCTGAGCGGGAGCTCCGTGTTGGGGCATCAAGTCGGAACACACTTCCAAAGGTGCGCCTTCGGAATAAGCCAAGGCAGTCTGTAGGTAACCGAACGCGGCTACTGACACCAACAGCAGACCTAATTTAGCGTTTACCACCATCATTCTGATTGCGAAACATACAAAAAAACACATTGAAAAAGTACTGATTATTTTGATTAAACGTAAAATATATTATAATAGGTTTAATTGTTTCAAATTATTCTCGATGTCTACAAAGTACAAACATATATCACATGTTAATTGAATATATAATAAGTATTCATCATAATAATAATATGTCGATACATGATAGAGCTTTTACTATATTGTCTAGTGTCTACCGATTTCCAAACATTATGAAATCTACATTAATTGTTGAACGTATACCAAATTATTAATACAATTTATATTAAACAGAGTGTGTTCACATATATTTTATTAACGAACTCGATTGCAACATATATTTCAGACTGTATTAAAAAAATATTAGATAGATAGGTATATACCAACTATAAACATCAAGACTTAGTTATTTTATTGAACTCTAGTAGTATTTTAAATACTCGTAAATCGTAATATGTTCATCACGGTTTATTAATGTTTCTATTGTAATATCTTATATATCTCCATATCAGGGTTTATTAGCACTACCTAATCATGTATTATCTATAATATATATCTTAATTCATTTGAATTTATGGAAAAAACATTTTGTTATTTATATAATATAAATTGTATTTTAAGAAAATTATAAACAACTATAATTTAATAATAATAAAAAAAAAGTTCAAATATTAAATTTAATTTATACAAGTTATTCTAATACAAATTTATAATTATATTTTGTGAAATTGACCTAACTCGATATAAACGAAAAAAATATTTAATTACCTATCTAATTACGTTTTATTCAGGTAATTGATGAATAATAATCTACTCACAGGCCACARTTGAAATTATTAATATCTCTTATCGATTTTTATTTCCTAAAATATGAATATTATAAAATATAAACCTACTACTTACTAGTTGAATAGTTATTGAATACATTCTACATAAGTAATAATTGTTTACCTATATTGAAATATCTCACACAAGTTCGTACATGTTGATAAATCTGACATGCATATTAACTTACTAACAATCTCAACGTAACTAAGATACAAAAATCATAAACTCAAGTCATAGAAAAAATCACATTTATGTACCTAATATAAAATAATTTGTATAGTATTGATGTAATTAATTAAGTATAATAACTCAAAAAATATTAAATTAAATTAATTCATTAATATTGTATGTTACCTGTTTGTTGAAAATATCGAATTACGAGTCAAATGTATGAGTTGAGCACACGATATCAAGTTGAATACTGTAGCAGTAGTCGATGATACCTTTGTCCAGTACAACATATAAAGACTATTACCACACAAAGAATACACAAACACAATTGCGGAAAGAAAGGGAACTTAACCTTCATGGAGATTGTCTAATAATATACTCATTATTGATTTATACCTGACCTGTACGGCTGTACATAATATTCAAACGAGTATCTAGAATAACTTGTTATTTGTGTGCTGATTCCCACCTAAGCTCTTCGTGCAGACGCAAAATTATAATTCGTCTTCACATTATATTTTAACCTCCCTCGATGGACATCACTTGGGATTCGGATGAATAACGGCTGTACTTAATATTGTAAAAAAATCAGTTGCAATGGCGTATGACCTACTAATTAATATTATTGATACCTACATTTGTATGCATCTTATAATATTATGAACTACCATTTTTATTTTGTAGACAAGTTAAAATAATTTTGTAATAATTTGGTAGGTCATATGCTCATATAGGACACCAGCTTATAATAGCCAGGTAGGTACCTATATATTAAAAGTATATAGTCGTTATTGCTRAGAAATGTTCTTTATTGTTTACTCTAGAAATTAGAATATCTATAAAGGTCGTTTTGCACGTAATTATTAATATTACACATTTGTGAATATTTAACAATATATTTCAATATAGTAATGATTAATTGGATAGCACACATTTTATATTCAAAGATGAGTTTAATTATTATCATATTATTGATATTATTTTATTTTATAATATACCTAATGCTACTATTGCTACTTAATAATTGTTACTGTTTGTTGAAAGTCGATACAATTKAATATTATTTACATATGTGATAAAATAATCGATATTCCAATAATGATTTTTGAAATATTTTTTTGAAACAGTTTCTGAAGGAATAAAAATAGTTGACTTTTGTATAGAACAATAGAACCCATTTGGAAATTAAAAACAGACTTATCGACTAATTTTCATCAAATCGTTAGGGGACATTTTAAATCGAAAATAAATTCGCAAAAAATTATTTATTTACCATATTTCAAACTTTATTAGTACCTAGGTATATTTTTTAGATTCTGAACGAAGTGATGAATGTATTGATTTTACAATGATGTGTGTGTGTTTTTTTTTTTTTTTTTTTTTTTTTTTTTGTAATAGATAAGACCGGTCATATTTTCTCTCATCGTTACAGACTCCCATTGTAAAAATTGCTTCACACACAATTTATTATTATAGTAATTAGTAATTATAAAAACAGCAAACATACACTGGTAGGAAATTGTGTCACCAAGCTGCAAAATTATTTAAAAAAATTAAATTAGTCTATGTAGAGGTAAACATTAGGTACCTAATCTAAAAAATGATTATAGGTAGGGCGGTATCGGTATCTACAATTTATTTATACATTTTTAAATTAATTGAACTTGAATCTTTTGTTCAAAATAATATTTATAGATAAATATTCTATGGCATGAAAAACCAGGAACTTAATTACTAAATAGTAAATACTAAAAGGTAGTTTATTTTTTGTTGTTAACTGGCGACATTGGATACTATGTTACCAAATAAATAAATTATAATAAAGATTAAAGAAA